GAATGTGTAAAAAAATGTATGAACTTAAGACCCTAACCTGTCTCTGATGTTGTTGCTGTTGCTGCTGGTCCAGCTGAGATGCCGAAGAGGATGAGGACGGAGAGGCAGACTCCGAGGCTGCCGTGCCCCGCCCATGCCCGGCGGCGGCACCACCTCCTTGCTGTGCCCCACCCCCGGATTGCATGCAAAGAAATTGGAGCTCAAATCTTTGTTTGGAAAAAAATAAAACGAAGGTGGACAGAAAATTCAGGACACTAGAAAAATCAAGAATTGTATTTTGTTTGGGAAAAATAAAATTGAATTCTCCCGCGTCAGAGACAAAAACAGCTGTCGTTAAATACCCCCTTCCCTGCTATCCCATCTATCTCTCTTTCTCTCACTCTCTCTCTCTCTCTCTCCAACGCAGACCCACTCACATATAATTGAGTGCAATATATCTATAAATCCGCAATCTTTCTCTGGAAAATAAAAAAATGGCAAAGAAATGCGAAAAATCGAACGGGAAAATAGGATAAGGCGATGAATTGGGAGCGGAAATTGTGTGGACAATTTGGAGATCGGCCGGCGAGAAGCTGAAATCGCCGGAAAAATCTCCCCTCTGAATTTTCAAGAATTTTGCAATTTTTTTCCAGTCAAACCCTAAGCTGTTATTTTTTGGGCGAATGAGAGTGTAAACTGTTTTGGCTTTTCTCCCAATTGATCAGATCTTGCGGAGCATGCGTCATGTGTAGTGCAGATTACTCTTTTTATTTTTTATTTTTTTATTTTATAAATTGATCCCAAACTTTGATTTTTTTTGTTTGTACATATTTTAAATGGTGTCATGTATGGGTGTGGAACCATTTTCAATGAGTGTTTCTATGATGAATCTTTGCCTCTTTAGTACATATTATTTTTATAGACCTTCTAATATAAATTTTAATTCTTTATTTTTTATTAAAAAATAAATATTTATTTAAATAATAAGAAAATGATTATTTTGCTCAAATATTAAAGAAGCTTAACCTTATTGTGATACACACTTATGATTCACCTCACATTCATTAAATAAAAAAATATTAATATAAAAAGAGAACTTGTAATGTTACACCACTTCAAGTGGTGTATCATCGTGAAACCAGTGATTTTTGGACACATACGATACTTCATTCTTACTACCCTCTAACCCGTCCCCTACCCCCCCCCCCC